TTGGCTGTAGGATTATAGTTTGGGGTAACAACAAATAATTGATAAAGTTTGTCTACCACAAAAGGAATATATATATACATATATATACACTACAGATAACTCATATACATATATATGAGTTATCTGTAGTGTTAGTCCCTTGTTTAGCTGCAGAGCATTTTCCCTAAACTGGGATTTTTTTATATAACATCAAATGACGGTACGAACAAGTCGGTACACGCCTGTCCATAACAGTTACTGTGCCACTCAGAGCTTTAAATAGCAATGATCTGAGGGGCACTACCACTGCGGCCGTCACCCTGAGACATAAGTTGAGAAGTCCCATGTGCCTGTAATTTCAGCAGCACCCTTACCCTTCAAAACCGGAACACGGTAATGCTGACATTACTGCTTGGCGGCAGAAATAGGTAAGGTGGCAGTACTACCTTGGACGAACTCTTTCACAAGGGGTTCTACTGCTACTAAATTATTATCAGTACCAAGTGTGTATATCCTAGAATTATGTGAATTTGTGAAACAACGACCAGAAAAGCAATAGCAATTAATCCTAGAAGTACGAGGTAACCTAATAGACTGGTGCTAGACTATTATCCTCAGATTACACTATTTCAAAGAAATTGTACAACATGGGTATGTTATAATATTCAAGAAAAAACCGAATAATTCGAAAGTATTGCCGATAAATCAAATGTGTAGAGAACTAGAAAAATGGTGTTTGGAAAAATGTTTTTACAATGTCAAAGAGTTTTCGGAACAATTTTATATAAGTAATAAATTTATAACAATGTAGTAGGTACATCATAAAGAATTCATATTTTAGTGTAATAAGTAAATATGTAATGTGTAAATAGATTTGTAGCAGTAGAGCTCCTTGTGAAAGAATTCGTCTAGGGAAGTACTGCCACCTTACCTGTTTCTACCGCCAAGCAGTAATGTAAGCATTACTGCGTTTCGGTTTTGGTGCTGGTAAAATTACAGGCATATGAGACTTGTCAATTTATGTCTCAGTCTCAGGATGACGGTCGCAGTGGCAGTGCCCCTCAGATCTTTGCGATTTAAAGCTCTGTGTGGTACTGCAACTGTTACAAACAGATGTGTCGCTTACCACCGAGTCATAAAAAACGTAATGTAAGTTTGAATTTTTCATGCCGGCGATCGGTAAAATATGCACTCATTAGTAATTTATTTATATACTTTCATTTAACCGTACCTTATGCAAATAAAAATCATTTCATTTCGTACTATACCAACTCTTAGGGTCGTATTCCAGAACTCTACTCAATACTCAAGTCAGGACTTGAGTATTGCAGTGAGCACTGAAAATCATACTCAAGTCCTTGCCATTAGGGTCGTATTTCCAGTGCTTGAAATCATACTCAAGTCTGCTCAAATCCTGACTTGAGCATTGAGTAGAGGTCTGGAATACGACTCTTAGGGTCGTATTCTAGAACTCTACTCAATGCTCAAGTCAGGATTTGAGCATGGTTTAAAGCACTTGATATCATACTCAAGTCCCTTCCATTAGGGTCGTATTTCCAGTGCTTGTGTTGCCAGTGCAATCCTGACTTGAGCATTGAATAGAGTTCTAGAATACGACTGTACGAATTTCGTAACGAATGTACAATACATTGCATAAGGAACTTTATGGTCAATTGTGTAACGTACAAACTAGATACGAGCCAAAATATTGAATGCGCGAGTATTCTCGAGCATACGCGATGATTCCACTGAAGATTTTCGTTACAAAATTCGGTTCCATTCCGTTCGACCACAATATAAATTGCGCCTTACTCAAGTCAATCGGACAAGTGGAAGCAAAAAAAAATTACGTCATTTTACGACAGAGATTCCTACATTAAATGGGAAAAGAGCTGATGATCTTTAATAGCTGAAATCATTAAAAGTACCTAAAAACCATCGCGATTAACATTAATAAACATAAAAATTAATAGACATCGTAATTAACCTAAAACCGCTTTGAGATCAAAATAAACCATTTGGGAGCTATGATACCTACCACAAAAAGATATTCAGACACAAAGACAAAGATTTATAACTTCAAACTTATAACTCCCCTCATTTTGAGTCGGGGGTTAGAAATTAGAAGTATCTACATTTTAGACTGGTTCCTTAAGACAGTTTCTTGTTTTTTGTCGTTTTTTTTAAGTACTTTTTTTAACAAAAAACAGTCATGTCTGTGTCCAAACTCACAATGAATTCGAATAACGAAGCCTTCAGTGGCAAAAAGTGACTTTCATTGAAATGCCATCTTCGTCGCGGGCCACTTATAATTGGTATCGTCTCGTTTCAAAAGCACTTTTTACCACTTAATATATTTCTGAGAACCTGCAGGTAGCCTCTGTACGAGGCACAGCGGCATATACTTTACAATATTATTATACAATATCCAAACAGTCTGAAGTTGAAGAGTTCATTAATCGAACGAATTTTGGAGCGACACATGTGCGAAAGTAATATTGTGGTGAGATAATAAAATTTTTTAGGTGTTAGTATTATTTTTTAGTTTTTTAGATTTGTGATTACTTTCCTTTTACGACATTGAGTTACTCCACCATAAATATTATTTTCCTATTGTCTTCTTTACTTTTATGCATTTTTTTTATTTAGTTGTAAATTCGTCACGTCTATATGTATAATCATGGTGCCACCATACTTATCGAAGCAGAATCGCATTAAGATGGTCAGAAAAAAGCTTTATATCGATATAATAAGAGCGAAACGCGAAACGTCTCTTTTTGGCTCTTATTACATGGTTGCTTATTCCGTGTTAATTACTGTGGAGTCTCCCGTAAAAATAGTTAGTTTATAAAAGAGCTGATTAATGAAAGTAAAATTGCAATAGGTAATAATAATAATGTAAACCTTCAAGTATATTTTCCAACCAGGGTGATTATCGTTGATAATTATCATTATTATTACCTTAATATTTATAAAATTAATTTTAACCACAAAATGCTACCGCCAATTTTATATAATAAGATCATTGGCTACCACTGACAATGTCATGCCCTGTGTTTGTATCTTAGACTACGGAATTTTTTTCCATTCTCTAAGGTTTGTTATGAATTCAAACGTGTCAAATGTCAATCTCAAAAAAGTCACAAAGAAGTAAGTTTTCCCAAAGATTTTTCTTTCGTTTTAATCCGTTTTCTCGCTGTTTATCATTTTTAGTCAAAACTGACAGGGACAAAACTATAAATCAGAATTTATTTGTAAGTCAATGATCAGAATGGATAATTATCTTGATATATAAGATAACATGTGTATAAGATATGTTGATAATTTCAAACCCTGCTTCTAACCCAAATATAATTAGTCTAAAAAGTCTCTTTTCCAATCTGGTAATACTTACAATAATCAATCAATAAACTGTATGCATTGTGTAACAATTAATACTAATATTTTTTACACACAAGTTGCCCGGTCTCAAACTAGGCAATTCCCTGTACTATGAGTACCAGAGCAAAAAATTTCACTCCGAGACACTGCCCAGTATACCCAGACTAGTAGAAAATTACGTTTACCAATTTGAAATACCGGGAATCGATCCCGGGACCTCCACATCCAACGCCCACCGTGGGGGTCATAACTGGTAGAAAATAGCGTTTAAAAGTCGTTTAATGGGCAGCCCAGACTGAGTTTCTGTATAGCCGAAGTTCACACATGAATTTATTGCTATTATTAGATAACAAAGAGCACGGCAAGAATCAATGTGATAAATACTTCGACACTCGCCCTTTTTACTACATTTGACATATTTGGCATCTTTTTTTGCTTTTATTGTCGCTGTGTAAAGTATTATTTTTGGATTGAACCTTTTTGCTACGATTTGCTAATACAGCTTAATTACGAACGATGAATATGAATGACCAGGAGAAATTCGCTAAATTGTTAGTGCAACATTCGATACTTCGGGGAAGAAAGGGCATAAAAGTGAATTTTATTTAAAAAGTTGTTTATGTGGTTGAATTGAATTTTCATGTCCGTCTACTCAAAATTTTGTTCTTCGTCAAAGAAGGTTTTTTTACGTACACAATTTAAAATGTTTTTCGTAGTTGTACGATTATATTATTGGTTGTTTTTCCTTCGTCTAACTCATAACTATGTAGTTTGGTATTTACGCCCCTTCTTTCCCGATGTATCGATATGGTCATTCTACGAAATTTTTAACACTCCTATTAATATAACATGTGCCTAAATTAAACGCAAGTATACATGTTAATTTTGTTAGAAAAACATCCATTGAAATCACTAATTGCACAAATAAATAATAGTTCAAGTAGACAAATACATACTGATTAAAATATTAACATAACGAGTTTTTAGATTGTCGCGATTGCTACACATTTACGTTGACTTAACTATCTCCATCTTCCGTGACCATGAGACCTGAAGACCTGTAAAAAGCCCAAACATTAATTTGTTTGAAAAAACCAATATAGGCGATTTAACATTTCTTCTTCTTGGCGTGCTGCTTCGCTACTAAGGTAGGCGACCGTAATGGCTATCCTTATTTTAGAAGCTGCCGCACGAAAGAGGGAACGTGTACTTTTAGATTGATCCAAGTTCTCAAATTCTTCAACCAGGAGATTTTCCTTCTGCCATGACTACGTTTTCCTTGATTTTACCTAGCATTATTAGTCAAAGAATCCTGTATCTTTTACCCAAAATACTGTAGCTTCCTTTCCTAACCTCAACATTGGTGACATTTATGTGGTCTGTGTTGGTGACCCTTTGAACTTAAGATATGCCAAGCATACGTCTATAAAGCCACATCTCAAAGACCTCTAGTGTTGAGCAGCATAATACCGAGGTTAAGGTCCAACCCTCATTTCCATTATTATAACAATTTAAGAAGTCAAAAGATACAGGAGAGATAGGCGTCAAATGTATGTAAACATTATACATATAAGTGCCAACTTTAGACTTGCGACAATACTCGAATAATATACTTATAACTCAATTTTGCACTTTTTCAGAATTACCTGACCCACATAGCTACAGTCCTGGCAGCAGTGTCGCTTTCATCAACCACTGTACTCAAAGCTCCCAACAACGATGATGGAAAATTCGAGCTACTTATTCTTCACAATAACGACATGCATGCGCGGTTCGAACAAACTTCCCAACTGAGTGGTACCTGCACACCTGCTGATAGGGAGGCCGGAAAATGTTACGGTGGATTTCCTAGAGTAGCTCATGTGTAAGTATCCACAACTACCAGGCATATTCTAGGTGAGACTTCATCTTAATTTAATTTCTAAAGAAATTCGAACCACTTTATCTTCACAGCATTAATAAAGCGTGACCCAGGAGCCTTTAAATATAAAATAGTATAAAATAGTTGCCGAATGACTTGTAATAATTAAAGTAGAGATTTATAAAACGAACTTTGACTTCGACTAAGCAAAGATGGTGAGTTAGAACTAAAATTCAAGTCACTTGTTCTCCGCAGCAATAATAAACATGCTGGAGCTAGCTCAGGCATGTCTAAAGTTTACTCCTAGGAGTAAACTTTGAAACGAACCAACGTAATAATAAAGATACAAGAAATACTGTAGAGTAAAATGTATTAGTCTGCATTCAGTCTTAAGTATTGCCCAGTTACGTCATAATTAAAGTTGAGATTTTAAAACGAACTTTGACTTCGTTTAAGCAAAGATGGCGAACTAAGCATGATTTTTGTATTTCCAGAACAATCTTTGATAAAGTTTAAACAAGAAAATAAATGGAATTTTGAGATCACTTCGTGATTTCTTTCTCAAAATTAGGCAAAGTTCTTTTTGTGAATAAGGCAAAACTTGCTTAGCTCGCAATTTAAAAAATAAAATAAAATAAAATCGGTTTTACGAGACATTACTATTATTCATAAATTTTTGCTTAGTCAAAGTTCGTTTTAAAATTTCAACGAAAATGTTTAATTATGTTTTAAGGTAGATACTATAGAACATATAAATTACAACATAATAACCCGTACCATAAGTACATAATAAATTGACGACCTCGGTGGCCTAACGGTTTGCACCGTGAGCACTGGATGCGGAGGTTCCGGATTCGATTCCCGACAGGACCAATTGACGAAATGAACTTTTATATATTGACTCTGGCCTGGATGTCCCGGATAATGCCCCAGAGTGCGATCCGTTACTCTGGCACTCATAGAATTCCCTAAAAAAATCTTCCATGGAATTCCCTAGTTTAAGATCAGGCAAATGGTATTTGTCTTGCTCATTATTAATTTCGTTATTAGAACATTGTACTATAAATTAAATATTATGGAGTATTGCCAATAGTACTATAAAAAAACAGACCTGAAAAGTTCGTGGAATTACATCTTTTTACCAAATTTTATTGAAATCGGTTACCGAAAAGTGCGCGAAATCGGATTCATCCCCTAGTTTGCTACCCTAAGAGGGGGAATATTTTATTCAAATTTAAATGGGACCACTACTGACGTACCCTCTTTACAACAAAAAAAGAATCATCAAAATCGGTTCACGAATTACCGTTAAAATAACGGCAAACATAGTCGAATTGAGAACCGCCTCTTTTTTAAAGTCGGTTAAGAAGCAATCCCAGTATTCCATTTAAATGGCCTCTGTGTGGTATGTAATCAGTTGTTTTATGTACATACATTACGTATTTATTCACAAAATATCTTCTCCGCAATTTCAGTGTAAAGGAGGCCAGAAGACAAGCGAAATCAGGTGAAGGTCCTCCAGTGTTATACCTTAACGCTGGGGATACGTACACGGGCACTGCCTGGTTCACCATTTACAAATGGAAGATCGCAGCTGAATTCATTAACGCTTTGCAACCTGACGCTGTTGTAAGTATTCACTTCTTTTATCTATCTTTATACTAAATTAGAACAAAATAGGGCCCGAAGTAATTTTGGACTATAAATTTAAAATATAAATGTATAAAATGAGAGATAGATATTTAGATAGGCAGTGTATATATTAATTTAAACTTCAAGAATTACATATAAAGTGAATTATACCTACCTCTAAAATATCAAATTTTTGTCTTGTATTTTGTTCTATATTTTTGATATATTACTAGCAACTACTTCAACTACACGGTAACGTATATAGAATAATTGTTTTATAATATTTACCACGATATTCATATATTTTTTGTGAAAATACTTACACAAAAATATATACTTAACTGCCTCTGTGGCCGAACGGTTACCATGTGGCCGGACTGCCACGCAGAGGTCCCGAGCTGGGAGAAATTTTTGTATGTCCTACATTTATTTATCTCATGAGTTTGGGTGTAATTTGTGGTAGTCTATGTATGTGTCCATGGCACCCGCAACACACGGTTTCCTTAGTGCGGAGCTATGATGAGTGTGTGCGTTATTATTATGTTGTATGCGTTGTATGCATAAATTTTTTTTTTATAAGCAATGCAAACATTGAACAAACACAAGGAAATATTCTTACGATCCGGCTGGACTCGAACCAGTGACTTTTTCGCTAAACTGTCACTGGCGCTGCTGTGGAGATGGCTGAGTGAAGAAAATACTTTCATAGGTTTCTCACAAGTGGCGCCAAGGCAAAAACACCCAAGAACAGACATATCATAGAGCTATTCGTAAAGTCTGTTAACTCGTTCCATAACTCAGTTGGGAGAACGATAGGTTTGGCGAAAAACTCACTGGTTCCAGCCCAGCCGGATCGAAGGATTTTTCTTTATCTTTGGTCAATCTTTGTATCAATAATAAAAAAAATTATATGATTTTGTATACAAAGATCGAACACAGAAAAATTTTCGTTGATTCTCACTAGATGTCACCAGCGGCGACGAATGCCGAGAGTCAGTACAAAAATCTATAACAAAAACACATAGGAGAATTTCAACGACTCGGTAACTAGACCCGTGGGTCAGATGGTTAGAGCAATGCTACGTGCAGCATGGACGTGAGTGTATGTCTCACGAAAATTTTTCTGAGTGTTCATAACAAAACTAATTAAAAAGTTTTATAAGTAAAAATAAGAGTATATATTTTTATTTTTATTCCTTCCGGGATTTCAGAGGGAAGTAATATCCATTCCATGTTTTTTTTTTATATTTAGGTAAATATACTCGGCGCAAATTTGTGGTAATAATATATAAATAATGATAATGTGCCAGACTAATGACAAGACAAATGTAAAATTTTTCATGGATAGATGACGTTTAAAGCAGTTTTATTAATATAATTTAGTCACAATAAATGGTCAGAGAAAAAGAAAGGATAAGGAATATATTATTGCGTAATACTACTGCAATATATGCCAAAAAACGTGGCACAACATTCAAGTCAGCGATAGCTATGCTTCACGTGTATCGGAGCAAGCTCTGTTTTACTTTTGCGGCTGGATTGTTGTGGCTTCAATTTGAAAACGTATTTAATTAAAATAACCGCATTAGCGGTGAATTCCTTTTCAATGATAATCTAAGTGGGCCCTATATTGTTTTAACGAAAACATTTTCGTGCGTGTTGTAGCATTGTGTTCGTTGAAGTGATACGTTACGTTGGTGATCAAAAAGGTACATGTACTTAATCTGTGGTTACAACTTTATAAACGTTCAATGTCTTACTATTCGGAAGCTTATTGCTTTTTATAGTATATATTCATAAGATACGTGCGTGAACGTGTACCTAATATTTAAATTGATATCATTTGGTAACGCAGTGTACTTATTATCATATCGTGTGATATGAGTAGGTAATGCATACCTATTCTAATAATGTGATAATAAAAATTACGTGCTTTTTTTACTGTGTTGTACACACGTTTGTTTTGTTTGTATACTTTGTGTTTCGTAATAAATGTTTACAATTGAATATCGTCATATTTTTACAACAACTATGAAATTTTATAATATTTGTATGTAATAGCTCCATATAGTATGTAAGTCCCACGCATGTTCGTCAGTTTTAATTTTATCATTACCCAATGAAGGTTTCCTGCCACAACATGACTTGACTTCTTGTCTCGAGTTCTTAGGTTATTCGCGATTGTTATAGAACGAAAATGACATCATTTTTCGCATCTAAATTTTTTTTTTTTTTTTTTTTCAAATAAACCATTTCGGACCCTTCGCTATGGTCGTAGCTACAGAAGACGAAAAATATTTTCATTTCCAAATCTCACTATGTTCCTAATATTTCGGAATACACGTATTGTGACATCAAAATGGTCACACTGAGTACACATTGAAAGTGACTTTCTTTTTGTATAAATTGTACGTAAATCAAAATTTCATTAACTGAATTCTCAATTTTTTTTGTTAAATCACTATTAATTCATACAAACGCATAGATATAACAATGTCTAGATTGTCTAGATATATATTGTTTTATGATGTCAAGCGACGGGACGTATGTTATATGCCTGGTAGTAAGCGACAGGCCTTTGGCCTATCCGAGACAGTGACAATGCCACTCAGCTTATTACTACGTTCAGGTTTTGAAGGTGCTGGTGAAATTACAGGTACGTGGGACTCATCAAATTATGTCTCAGGGTGACATAAGTGGGCGCAGTGACAGTGCCCCTCAGATCTTTGCAATTTAAAACTCTGAGTGGCACTGCAACTATTATGGACAGATGTGTAGTTTACCATCAGGCGCACAACTTCTTCGTTCCGTCACTTGATAATATCAAAATTTTTTTTTTGTTAATTAACCGCTCAGAACATTTTAACACTGACTAAAATCAGCAACGTTGCTAAAAGAAAGGGTAGATAGTATTTAACCGCTCACCAAAAAAACAAGTTTTTTCACAACCAAATATGCCACTTCTCCAACAAAAGTACCATCAAAATATGTACATCAAAAGAAAATTCATTCAGCATTATGTACTAAAATAATGCGTAGCATTTTATCGCAATGCATATCTAACATATGAATATGACCACAAATGACCACAAATTTATGACAAAAAACATACTTATTTTACTAAAAGGTAAATCAGTCTATCGGAATGAAACACCATTTTATTTTACATAATGGTCTAATTGTACCATTTGTCCAAAACAATAAGATCAACAAAAAATAAATAAAATTGCATACAAACATTGTAACAAGGTCTAAAACTTGAAAATCGTAGTATTTTCTTTTTTGTATTTGCAAGTAAAGGTTCAATTTAGTTCCAATATTATGAATGGCTTACAAGAAAATCAGCTCTAAAGCTTAACATAAAAAAGCAGAAAATAATTTTAAAAAATTAAAATAACTTTTATTAACCTTTGCCCAGCAGTGGGACATAATATGTTAATATTAATAATTCAATAAAAACTTTTATTAAATCATTAATGCGGGTCTTGCTTTCGCAGGACGTCCACGCTATATATATATTATTTGTTGTACGTGATTCATTGTATAAACGAATACAAATTGTGGACCAACTTTTGAGAAAACTTACGGTAATTTTCTTAAAACAATTGTTATTTAGTTTAGAGTTAGAGAGAGTAAAGTATTTTTTTTATGTAAACCATATTTTTGTTAATAAATGAACACTTTCGTTGTATACTGAGAAATTAGCAGAGGTATAGTTTTGATACATGCTTTTAAATTATTTTTAATATTACTTTTGTTAGAAAGCTGTTTTACTTGTAGTGAAATATTTTTTTATATGTAAAAGTTATTTGAATAATGAACATACTTTTATATGCATTAAGTTTTCTGATAATGATTAAATATTTCCCTTCAGAAAACACCTTTTCAAAATGAGATTTTGATACTACATCATAAATATTAACTCAGTGCAAACAATTCTTAAAGAAACAATTAAATAAATAACAGGAAAATGTCACTCACGAAATGTGACATCGTGTAAAAAGATTATTAGATTGCACATCATAATTCAATAGTCAGTACGTCTTTACCTACCTACGTCTGTAATCAAAAAGTGAGTACAGTTTATATTTAAACGCTAACTTTGTATACTAACAACAAATTGACATGTAACGAAGATGCTAAGGCTAAATCTGTGGCTTAGCCTTAAACAGCTTAGTCATAAAGTAAATTATTCGGTAGTGGAAACCAAATTAGCGTAACTTTCATTAATTTCGACTCGATGGTAATTGTAATTAATGCCTTTTGATGGTCTTCCTCCACGTTATATAACCTATTCCACTAACAATACTAACGAAATTACAGAAGACATTCATTTTCATGCTTAAAAAATGCTTGTGAGTATGGTGGTGGTTTTAATTTGTAGTGAATTTGGGTATGGGAGTTATTATTTAGACCCGAATGATCAAGATATTTAGACAAGTCTAACAATTTTTTCATTAAACTGAAAATATAAAACAATTCCGATAATATTACTAATGTTATTAAAAAATAAATATTATATTTGCTAACTTCTAATAAATGATCACAAAGCATGGTAGTTTAACATACTAAAAATAAATAATATTGTATTGAAAACAATAAACGATAATCAATAAACGAACTAATTATTTAATTTTTTTCAGGCCCTGGGTAATAACGACATTGAAAAATTGTCCAACGAACTGTCGCCATTCTTACAAAACCTAGAAACTACAATATTAGCCAGTAACGTTATACTCAAATCGTCCGAAAATAAAATTCAAAAATCAGTTATTCTAGACGTGGAAGGGAAAAAGGTTGGTTTAGTTAGCTATCTCACACCTGACATGGGATTCATGGACACCACTGGCGAAATAGAGTACATAAACGAAGTCATAGCTCTACAAGACGAAGTGAAAAAACTACAAGAACAAAATGTTAATATCATAGTAGCTTTAGGCCATGCACACTATGACAAAGACATGGAAGTAGCATATGAAGTACAAGGCTTAGATTTAATCATCGCAGGACATAAAAATATTTACTACTGGAACGGGACCAATACTAATGAACAAGTCGACAAAGCTATAGTCGTCATACAGCGATCTGGTAGGCGAGTGCCTATTATTCCGTCTTACTCCTACGATAAGTACTTAGGACAAATTGACCTTCTATTCAACGCTGACGGAGAGGTCAGTTCGTACGACGCAAACCCCATTTTGCTTGATTCATCAATAGTTCAAGACGCGGAAGCACTACAAACCATAACAAGTCACAATGCACAGTTAGCTTCCAGGTCACAAGAATTTGTAGGTCAAACTGCCGTAGTCCTTGATGGCGAATCCTGCGGAATAGAGGAATGTAACCTAGGCAACTTGATTGCAGACGCTATAAACTACTACTACGCTGTACATTACGATGGAGAAGGATGGACAGATGCGCCTGTCACCATAATTCCAGCGGGCGCTATTGCAGCTTCGATAGCACCTTCGAATCGTCCGGCTTCTGTTACTATGGGCGACCTGATGAGTGCTATACCTACTGAAAGTAACTTGGTCGCTGTAAATATGACAGGGACAATACTATTGGAAGTCCTCGAACACGCCGTATCTACATACAACGCACCCAATCCCGCTCAAGAACTTTTACAGCTATCTGGTATTCGTGTAGTTTACGACTTATCGAAAGAGCCTGGTTCGAGAATTATTAGCGCAGTTGTCAGGTGCTGGGCATGTTTAGTACCAGAATTCTTCACGATTGATAACTGGAGGTTTTACAAGGTACTGATGCCTGCAGCTTTGGCCAACGGTGGTTATGGCTATTCTATGCTTTCAGAATTAACAGATAGAACGGATTTAGAATATGACGAAGTGACGTGTACAGCTGAGTATATTCGACTTCGCAGCCCAGTATATCCTGAAGTTGCCGGTCGGATGCAATATAGA